TTCTTATATGATATAATACGTTACATTAAAGTTAAGCTGCGCGTTAAAAATATATATTTACGTTGTAACTTGAAATATTCACTGTTGAAATTTTTTTTAACCTGGCTTCGGATTAAAATAAGCCTAAACAATGTTTAGAGTATTCCGGTAAAGTGATTATCAAAAATATCTTGAAGATTAGCTTGGTTGAAATTAAGTTTAACGACTAGTCAGTTTAATGCTATATGAGAAACTAGAAAAAAACTAGGATGAGTTCATCAGAAATTAGTGTTACAGAAAGTCCAACTTTGGCTACTAAAACTGTTTCAATACAGAAAGTTCGTTGAATTTAATTTTTGTTTAATAGAATGCTATTATTTTGGCAAGGCCATAGAGTATGTATACTACAAAAATTCAGTTGCATATAATAAGCATAATGTTATATAAAATTATTACACAAAAAACAACTGAACGATAAATATAACTTAACATCCACACCACCAGTCCCAAACCCCAACACTCCGCACATCGCAAAGCAAAACATAGCATCGCTATAAGCTTACCACACTAAACCAATGATTCCGACAAAATCAATCATCTTACACCCTACATCATGCCATACGCATGCAAAACATACCTCAAGCACAACCAGCGCTTTTACCCGCACGACACAATGAACCACACCTTAAAGTCAAAACAACACCACAGAATCCACATGTCACCACCCAAATACGTGAACAGTAACCCTCACCGCAAACAACAACACAGCTTACGACGTACATAAAACCTCGAGCTTTTGTTGGGTTCCCATATGGATACGTGGTACCCCTAAACGCTGATTGGCGCGAAAAGCGACGTACCGATTTAGCGCATAGAATATGCGCATAGGTACATTTATCCTACTGTTGCCGGTCGTTGTGTATTGGGTACATTCATACGGTTGTATCGGTACCAACGGTCACGTTGTCAAGTCGAAATTAATGACGTTACTTTCTCTTGACTCACGCGCATAGTAATTTTTTGACTTTGTGAATTCAGCATACATATATTGATTATTATTGCTAAATAGGAGGTCCGTTTTTACTACAAAAATTACTAATAGTTTTATTATTCTCTCTTTTATGTATATAAATCTTATAAATGACATATGAGAATAATTTAGGAAGTTATCTTCTGATTACGGTTTGTCGCGAAAACAAGACACCCGGCAACAAGACATACAATTGTACTTGGATGCCAAGTAGATATGCATCGCCAAGCTGTCATTTCTTCAATTATAATTATAAATAAGTAAAGGATTTACAAATTTGTCTTCGTCTAAATATAAAATGGCATTTTAGAATGGTAGGTGAACCAGAGTGCACCTGTTTCATTGACCTTGAATATGGAGGGAGAGCGATGCTGGATTAATGTGATCATACTGCTCAGTACAATATAATGAATTTAACTTTGAAATAGCAATGTAAAATGAGAACATAAAAAAAAGACAACAGTATTTGGCGTGGTGGACCACTATCCTGAATACCAGCAAAGAAAGGTCTTCATCGTGACCTTGACAATAATAACACTGAGCATAGACCTACACTCTTAATAAATACTGAAAGGTTGGTTGAATACTGACAAAAATACCAATTGCAGTGCTATTGAATACCAAACTTTGTAGCTAAATACTGGCAATTAGTACCAACAGAAGTGTTATTGAGTACCCAGATCTTCAGCACTGAGTACCGACATCAATGACACTGAGCACTGAGATTCAGCACCAAGTACCCACAGCAGTGATACTGCGTACAGTACTGAGTGTCACTGTTATTAGTAATCGATATCAGTACCATTGAGTACAAAAAGCATTAGCATGTAGTACCAAAATCAGAAAATTGAGTACCATCAACAATAGCAGTGAGTACATACACCGGTGGCACTGAGTACCCACAGCAGTGACACTAAGTACCCACAGCAGCTACATTGAGCATGGAAGACTATACAACGGCTGAACACTGTCATTACTTGACAGTATTTGCCCACGTCCTTTTGCGTGTATAGCAAATATAGTTCGAATGAGAAATATGCGTCTTTACTAGTTGACCTTGAATGAGAGTTCACAAAAAGAGCGTAACCAGGGACTACTAAGGCCATAAACATTTAAGGAGGTATTTTCTTATGTAGCGTGTTAGTGTAGTCTAGTAGAACCACGATAGCTATGCTTCAAAATACACATTCATAAGCATTAGATAGTGATCAGGTGCAGCAGAGTTATGTAACTATATGTCTGAGCTTCAAACATATAGTTTTCATGAATTTTACAAATGAGTCTACATCAACTTGCGTTTGTGATATTCTATTGTTTGTGCATTGATATTTAGAGAAACAAGTGTCAGTAAAAAAAAGTAAATGACCCGGACAATTTTTTGTAAATGACTGATTGGTCTGTTAGCTTCGGATGTCGAGAACTCGCGACATACCGTAACTAACATAAAAAAATGTCCAAGATATAGAAACAACAATATACCTCAAATTCAGTGTCAGTACGATCAGCACAAATATATATATATTTAAATGCAATATGGGACGAGAGCACTTGCGGGAGGGGATAATCTAATGCCATACAATAGATATATCTATATGCTTGTAACATAACTTGGTTATAACTGTATTCATCCATAAAGCCTTTAATACAAGTAAGGTTTTGCAGAGAAAACCTATATAATTCTATTTCTATAATTGTGTTATGTTGTTAATCTATTCTTGCAACAGATTGGCAAACCCATGATTAGATAAATATTTTCGTGGCTTCTAGAATATATATTTTATAAGTCACCCGCATTCATGCAAAACATAAAATATTGTGCAATGCTTAGTCATTGTGCAGATAGTATGTACCACATAGGGGCAATAATCCCATGGCTTAATTTGATTGTATTTGATTGTATTTTATTGCTTCGTTTTTCTGATAAGTAATGTATGTTTTCTAATATAATATAATACTTTGCATTAAAGTTAAGCTTTGCGTAAATATTCACTGTTGACGTGTTTTAACCAGGTTTTGGATTAAAATAAGCTTAATTTTTAAAATGTTTTGGGTATACCAGCAAAGCGATTAGCTTGGTTGGAATTAAATTTGAGCCTTTAGGGGTAATCTTGAAAATAACTAGGATTAGTTTATCAGGATGTAGTAGAACAGAATTTTTAGCTCTGGCTACTGAAACTGTTTCAATACAGAGAGTTTGTTAAATTGAATTTTTTAAAATTTTGACATGGCCATAGAGTATGTATAGTACGAAAAATTAGTTCCATATAATAAGCATGTTATCTAAATATTATTACCCAAAATGAGTTATTAATAATGAATTAAACACTATGAACGAGAAACATAATTAAACACCTACACCACCCGTCTCAAATCCCAACCCCCCACACATCGCATTGCACTACATAGCATCGCTATAAGCTTACCACACTTAACCAACGATTCCCACCAAATCAGTCTTTCTACACCAAACAAACTATTTACAATACCTCATGCCACACACATGCAAAAAACTAATGAAGCAAAACAAGCACATTTTCTCGCACGACACAATAAATCATACTTTAAAGACAAAACAACATCACATGATTCACATATTACCACCACGCTACGGAAACCCCCCAAATTCTGAACCACATCCCTCACTGCAAACAACAATATATCTTACATCGTGCATAAAACCTCACACTCTACACCACATATAGGCCTACAACATACCCACGGAATAGTCCAAATCCCACAAAACCTCAATCTACATCCCAAATCAGACCAGGCTACTCTACACGGCACCATGAACTACACCCCAAACCAACCCCCCTACCACCCCGCTGTCCCCTCCTCTTATCACCGACACCAAGGAGTGGACTGGACCAAAGAAATGTTCCTTATGGTTGCCGGTACAAAGTCTAGGTGAGATGCCAGGATCAGTGTTGTAATGGTCCACATTTAAAAATAACCTTTTCCTTTTAAATAATCCTTCTGATTTACTTTTTTTTAATTATAATTGTCTGTTTCAAATGTTCAATTTTGCTGCGTTTTGGATGTGTCGGTCCCGTGGCTTGGATAGAAGAAAATGTGTTTAAATATTTGTTTTGTAACTAAAGCCTCTATTTTTCCCAGTAAATTTATCGCCTGTGTCTCGGAATGTGTGAGAAAGTAAAGCTAAAGCAAATGGCACGACTTTTATTTTTGTGTCAAGTTCGTTTATAAATAGGAAAAATAGATTCGTTGAACACTCATTAAGAAGACGGACCAATAGGGCTTTGCAGATGAAATAAAGATATAAACTAACGTCAGAATACAAGTAAAAAATTATTACATGGTCTAGAGGTAGAGCGCTAGACTGCTAACACGGGATTCTCGAGTTCGAATCTTGGTTTAACTCAAAAGAACCTCCATAAGTCTACACACCTGCTATGGGTATCTAGATCACGCAAAGTAAATACTACTGGGCATGGTGCTGAAAACACTATATCTTCAAGTGCCGAGTTCAGAGAAACAGATCAACTTTACTTCACCTGCTCTATGGATCGTCAGGTTCCAAAATGGAACTTAACTTACCTATGTACTTATTAAAAGAGGAATTTTAAGGAATCAACAATTTTTGAAAAGGGACTGAGTGGTCTAACGGTAGAGAGCTGGATTGCTAAACCGTAAGTCTCGAGTTCGAATACGGGTTCAAGTAAGTTGACCGTCCCTGATTCCCACCTGACGGGTACCTAACTCATGTTAGGAAAAGTAAAGGTGGCTCGGCATAGTGCTGAGGTCACAGGTTTGAAGGAAACTTTACTTTACTTTATAAGTTTCGAGCGAATGAATGATTTTAAAAACATCTGGACTAGTGGATTTTACAGAAAAATAGAGATGTACAGAAAAGTATACATTAAAACAAGCACATAAAACATTAATAACCTGCATGTTTTTATTTTTTTTTGAAACTACTTCACAAGCACACAGATTTTGGAAGGTCCCCTCGATATTGGATTACGAAGGATCAAAGATTCACTCGAGGAACATCGTTAGGTGCAGTCTTGGTAACTTGTGAGGAGTTCTGTAAAATAGTATCCGTTAGATTCGTAGGGCCAACATCGTTAGGCGCAGTATTGGGGACTTGTGTGAAGTTCTGTAAAATATGATCCGTTAGATTCGTATGACCAACATCGTTAAGCACAGTCTTGGAAAATGGTGTTGAGTCCTGAAAAATGTTATCCTGTCCATTAGCACGAGAGTCCGCTCTTCGCTTTCTTGTCGGTACGGTATCCCAATGAAAGTCGACGTTTTTTCCCGAGACGTCTTCAAACTTTCCGGTTAGTTGAAGGAAGTACCTGCTTTCGTCGGTTAAATTGGTGATTAAATCCATGAAGGTTAAATATGTACTTTTCAAATCGGTCCACAACCAAGGACGTGAGATTGTATCGCTCTCTCTCTTCAGTGCTGTGTAGAATGGAACCTTAGAATCTCCAAATCTGTAGTTAAAAGTAGGACGATCTTCACTACCGCGATGCTCATAATGGTAATTTGTATTATCCTTACCAATCCCCCCACCCCATCGTAGAAAGCCTTGTAGCTCAGTGGAGAACTTAACTATAATTGTCGCAGTATAGTTAACTGAAATTTGTGTTTTGGCCACAACAAGACGCCATTTAGCTGCTGAGTTCGGTAATAAGGTTTTTACACTACTAACTGTAAAGGATTTTGCCTGCTCCCTTCTGTTTTCATCTGTTTGCGATGAACTTGTTTCAAATCCAAACTTATACCCAACAGAAACCGTAGGTCCGCCAGGCGGTGTGTAAGAGATTCCGAAATTGAGTTCCTGGCTGTTTTTCCAAGCGCTGGTTGTCGTATGGGTGACAACACGCGCAATGATTTCAGTTCGTGTGACACTCTGTGATGAATTTGTCGGTTCGCTGTTTGTAAGAACTCCTGAGTCTATCGTTTCAGGCGTCAAATCTTCAATTAAAGGCGTTCCATATTTGATGTCTTTTATACCAAAACTCCAGTCTCCATAGGCTAGGTTGAGACGTTGATTATGCATATACCCATCACAAGGTTGTTTTGTACTAGAGAGCCATGTGTCGCCGTTTTTAATAAAATCCTCGCCAACATACTGGCTTCTACAACCTCCACACCAACCATAACCGAGATAATTCGCCAAAATAGCTATGTCTTCCATTGTAGTGTCCATGATGCGTGTCTTCACCTTATGGAGATCGTCCAGTACTTCTGGTGCTGACGCCAGCTTGCAACATCGCAAAGTCTTTATACAATAAAGTTTTTTACAGTTCGCCTTGAACAAACCAGTGACATAGTAACCATCATTACATTTACACAAACCTTTGTCAGAAAAACAGATCCCAACTTCGTGGTCATAACAGTGACCATAGTATGCTGGGTGGTCAACTGGTTTAGAACAACGTCCCTCTTCTATGTTATTCAAATAGCCACGGTCAGCGTCTTTCGTTCTGTAAAAACCGTTAAGAAAATAACCAGGAGGACAGATTGACCAGGAGTCGTCTTTATTAAACGAGTACCACCAATTAGCAATCATTGTTTGTGTTTTAGATTTCTCCCATGGTGAAGTTCTCGAACAACATTCAACTCCTTCTATTAATTCTATACTGTCCTCATTAATAACCACCAAGGCAGCTCGATAAAAGCCAGAGATAAAATCATTTAGGTCATTGCACGTTGAAGTTCCCTCTTTTTTAAACTTTTCCATCCAATCTGATCTGCTACAACCAGCGCCTCCAGTGTCAACTAAAGCCATAAGCACAACGACGTGAGCTAAAGACATCTTTTCCACGTTAAAAAACAATAGTTTAATAAAGACAGCTTTATCGTTGACAACACAAATGCCTGAAAACCTGCAAATACAGATGGCGGATTGCACTTTGGTATAAATTTTTAAACATCAAATATGACATGTGTCTATGTTGTTTAAATATCTTACTGTTCAAACCAAATATAGGCACAGATTATGGATTAGATCTGACAGGATTATTGTAATTATTTTATTTTAATACATTTATTGTCGGCGTAGTATGTAAAACTCTTGATCGATATAAATATACTACTGCTTTTGAATAAGATTTGTTGGGCACCCCGTCAAAAGAGCGCACGACAAAAGAGCGCCGACATAAGAGCGCAGACAAAAGAGCGCCGACATAAGAGCGCAGTCAATTAAAAAATACATGTTGTTCGCTAAACGAATATGATATTGTTAACACTAGTTATAACAATTAAACCTCCGCGGTTATTCCCTGTTCGTTGCCCTCAAAAGTCACGGTCATGGTCATGGTCATGGTCATGGTCATGGTTATGGTCATGGTCATGGTCATGGTCATGATCATGGTCATGGTCATGGTCATGGTCATGGTCATGGTCATGGTCATGGTCATGGTCATGGTCATGGTCATGGTCATGGTCATGGTCATGGTCATGGTCATGGTCATGGTCATGGTCATGGTCATGGTCATGGTCATGGTCATGGTCATGGTCATGGTCATGGTCATGGTCATGGTCATGGTCATGGTCATGGTCATGGTCATGGTCATGGTCATGGTCATGGTCATGGTCATGGTCATGGTCATGGTCATGGTCATGGTCATGGTCATGGTCATGGTCATGGTCATGGTCATGGTCATGGTCATGGTCATGGTCATGGTCATGGTCATGGTCATGGTCATGGTCATGGTCATGGTCATGGTCATGGTCATGGTCATGGTCATGGTCATGGTCATGGTCATGGTCATGGTCATGGTCATGGTCATGGTCATGGTCATGGTCATGGTCAGGGTCAGGGTCATGGTCAGGGTCATGGTCATGGTCAGGATCAGGATCAGGGTCAGGGTCAGTGTCAGTGTCAGTGTCATGGTCATGGTCATGGTCGTGGTCATGGTCATGGTCATGGTCATGGTCATGGTCAGGGTCAGGGTCATGGTCATGGTCATGGTCAGGATCAGGGTCATGGTCATGGTCATGGTCAGGATCAGGATCAGGATCAGGGTCAGGGTCAGGGTCAGTGTCAGTGTCAGTGTCATGGTCATGGTCATGGTCATGGTCATGGTCATGGTCATGGTCATGGTCATGGTCATAAACATAAACATAAACATAAACATAAACATAAACATAAACATAAACATAAACATAAACATAAACATAAACATAAACGTAAACATAAACGTAAACGTAAACGTAAACATAAACATAAACATAAACATAAACGTAAACGTAAACGTAAACGTAAACGTAAACGTAAACATAAACATAAACATAAACATAAACATAAACATAAACATAAACATAAACATAAACATAAACGTAAACGTAAACGTAAACGTAAACGTAAACATAAACATAAACGTAAACGTAAACGTAAACGTAAAAGTAAACGTAAACGTAAACGTAAACGTAAACGTAAACGTAAACGTAAGCGTAAGCGTAAGCGTAAGCGTAAACGTAAACGTAAACGTAAACGTAAACGTAAACGTAAACGTATACGTAAACGTATACGTAAACGTAAACGTACACGTACACGTACACGTACACGTACACGTACACGTACACGTACACGTACACGTACACGTACACGTACACGTACACGTACACGTACACGTACACGTACACGTACACGTACACGTACACGTACACGTACACGTACACGTACACGTACACGTACACGTACACGTACACGTACACGTACACGTACACGTACACGTACACGTATTCCGGTTTAGTAGGGTTAGTGTTAGGTTTAGGGCAGGGGTCGGGAACCTTTTTAGCCGGAAGAGCCAAAAGTCACAATTTTCAAAATTTTCCAGTTTTTAAAGAGCCACTAACAATTATTTTTTTCAATATTTTATTATTTTATTAGGATTTGTTAAATACATTTTATTTGTTATTTAAAATATCTATCTTTAAATATGAAATAATATTTATTTATATGAAAATACACGTGTTTAGCCTTAACAATAAACTTATTAATCCAATAATATAACTATAACACTATCCCAATTTACTTTACAAGCTGTTAACATTTATTTTTCTTTATTTACGGATATCCCCGGCTCATTCAGGTGTCTCCCATTTGCCAGGCAGACCTTAACACGGCAAACTCCGACTAACTGCCTTGGATATCGGTTTGATTACCGTGTATCTGTCGCTTCTGTCCTTTGATTCTCGCCAGGCTTGTCTTCCACCCTCCCCCCCCCCCCCACACCCACTGAACGCAGGGTAAACTCGCACACCACCGTCCAGTAGGCATACCCGACCTGACCGTAGGAAGCTAATTACTAAAAAAAACTACGTCATTTGGGTCAGTCAAATTAATAATTACTGACATATAGAGAAATGCATTCTAAATAAAATAACATTCCCCATTTAACAATATTCTTTAAAGTCGGCACTTGGGCAGTGGCAAGCGTGGAATTGTTGCCACTGGGCTGTCCACAGCACGGCCGTGGGCCTGATAAACAAGCGGCTGTCAGCTTCTACTGTTCCTATTCTCACTGCTCTCTGATGAGTGTTTTTATCCTGTTTAAAGTTGAGTTTCTTTACAGTACAATATTTGTTCCGAGTTTTAAAAAATGAAATAAAATAAATATTAATATTTGTGCAAGGAGCTGGAGAGCTGCATCTTGCCATCAAAAGAGCCGCATGCGGCTCGCGAGCCGCAGGTTGCCGACCCCTGGTTTAGGGAATTGTAGGTGAATGTGACAAAAAACAGATAAGTGTAGGTTAGGGATAGTTTTACAGGTAGGATTAAGGATATGGATATTGGTAATTGAAGAGGTAAAGGTATGAGTAGTGTTAGAAATAGGTGTAGGGTTAGAGGTGCGGGTATAGGTATAGGTATTGATAGAGGATAGTGTAGGTAGTGAGATAGTGTTAGGTGTAGGTATAGGGTTAGGGTCGGGATCAGAGATTAAATGTACGGTTAGGTATAATTGTTGTAATGTTGAAAGTGAGGGGTATGTTTATAACATTGGATTTTTTATAAATAGTTGGTAGGGATGTGAAGATGTTATCGCTAGGTTTTAGGGTTTATTACTCTAAATATTAGATGTTTAACAGAAATTAAACGTGATTATACAATCTTTAATTATCAGTTTATTATTAACTTTTACCAGCATTTTATCTAAGACAACTAGTGCACGATAACTACAATTCATTACAAAAGACATCAATATTGAAGTAAAACGAACAAATGTTATAAAGTTCTTAACAAAAATAATACTTAGTCTATATTTAGATATGCGATACAATAATAAGATAATACATGCATCAGTTTAAAATACATAAAACAAATGGTTTATTTACTGCATAGAAAAATAATAAAACATACGTCACAACTAGCAATTTGTATTTATTTGAAAAAAAATTCTAAGAAGAAGTAAATTATAAATATTTACCGTTGACTAGTCTTGTAATTAAGTTATAACGTAAGTTATAACGTAAAAGATAATTTGGATGTAACGTTATTCATATATATATATATATATATATATAGATATATAGATAAGTTCATGGTGGTAGAACAATAACGCACATATACAATGGATTAATGAGAGATTAATAAGATACAAAATGTTACCCGTATTTTCGTCCCGTCTTTATAGCACGGAACAATACTCGAATCTCCAGGTTTAGTTTTAAAGAACAGCCAGTGTTTATAAACAATTTTACAATTCGATAAAGGTTTAATATTAAGCTTCGAGTCGAGATTACGATTCGTGTTCTTTTGTGAGATTTTATTTTATAAATAAAAACTAAGATGTAATCCTAATACATAAATTCTCGTGGGCAAACCGCCAACTCTCTCTTTCTCTCTATCTGTCTGTCACAAATTATACTGAGGCTATGAAATCAGTGTTCTAATTAATATATGGAAAACTTAGAGATAATGACGTATGTCAAAAATAATGTTGAGTCTTCTAAATGTATAAACTAAACTTTATTCGAGGCTTTAGTTATGCTTCGAGAGAAGTGGTTATGGTTGTGTTTGTGTGATTTGTTTATGTGTTTGTCAAGAACGCTCTAAATAACATGTAAATAACACAAAATCTTGCAAAGAGGACGACGTTAATCAAAACTAATAGGAAAATTTCATAATGAAACAATGTTAGTACAAAAGGTTAAATCACATAAAGTATATAACAATAAAGGCGTTATTGATTATAAGATAAATAAACCTGGAGTGATCATTCCTAAACTTTCTCAAATATTCTTATAAAAAACAACAGGGGATGGCAACTCGGGAGTTAGACATGATCTCTAATTCATTTTTAATTACCTAAACTTTTAAAAATAGAATAGCATTTCATAGAAAAAAGAATTGCACACCAAGTGAACGCAAAACAAAATGTGTATAAAATAGTGGAATATTATTAGTAGCCTACTTTATAAATTCACATGGGTTTTTTGAGAAAGCGGAAATAGCGAAAAAGACTACTTCCAGTCAACGGAGATTATTTAAAATTTGACAGATAGCAGAGAAGTAAATCTTTTACTTACATGGGAAAGTTCTTTTATCTATCTGAAATAGTACTCAAGTTATGGAATTTTGAATAATTGAAAGTAGAAAAAGTTCCTTCTACGGTTATCGGAAATAGGTCAAAATTTGATAAGGATCTACAAATTTGAAATAATACTTATTAATGAAATTTCATTAACCTAGCTGTAATAGTACTAATGTTGTCATGTTCACCCACTTACACACACACACATACAAACAAGGTTACAGAATTATGTATTTCCGACTAAGGGGGTAAAAGGTACGATTACAATACTTTCTCTATACTTCGTATATACGAGAAAGTAAAAAGAAGTCAGTAGATTTTAGAAATTTAACACAAACATAGACATAAATAAACAAGAAGTACAGAAAACAAAAATAACTACTAAAAAACAAAACAAAACGTATATGTTTACATAAAAATGCTTTAAATGTAATCATAGACCAGATTTTTAACTTTCTCGTATACAGAGAATAGAGAAGGTTTGGTAATCGTGTACAAACATCACACGTCATTTAAACTTTTATCACCGTTTTACTTCTCAGTACTTCGTCACATACGGTGTATAGGGGACTTATTTTAATCGGAAAAAAATAAGTACTATACCAAATATGTCGCCCTGTTTCATTTTGTCAGCTATCTCCAATAATTCTACTTTCAATTTTTTCAAAGCCTTTAACGTGAGTACTGTTTCAGATAGATAAATGTAATTTCACATATAATTAAAAGATCTTATTTTCTGCCTTCCGTCAAATTTTGAGATATTTCTGTTGATCGGAGGTTTTACGTATTGCCCATCTTAATCATCTCAATAGAGATATTCCTAAGAAGTAGAGTTGGGTAGGTGTAGAGTTCATATGTGACGTCAGTATACAGTATATCTAGTGATAGTGTGGTCAGACCTATGCTCAGACGAAATCGGTGTTTTAAAAGACAAAGACATGTCTGAGTTGGCGGGACACTGGGTAGGTGAAGTATAGATGACCTGTTTTTGTGACCTAAGCATATGAAAGGATATTGTGGTCAGATCCATTCTCAACCGAAATAGGTGTTTTAAAAGACAAAAACGTGTGAGTTGTGAAGTCTTTTTGAATGTGGGGTCTGGGTTTTTTTTGTGACGATAAGTGACATACTTGATGTCATGTATGGAAGACCCCCATCAAAACCCAGTTATCCAAGGATAATGGGTAGTCTAATTCATACTATAATTCTCACTGCACATAGCTATTGACCTGAATGAACCAAACACTCCCCTAGGGATTCAATAAAGATTACCCCATGAACGGATGGTGGACTACAATGGCATTAAAACAGTATTAAAGAAGATACTCAGAACTGAACCAAAACAATGGAATTAAGTCTAAATAAACCTTATCCATGCCTTAACATGAGCCAAAGTGATGCTACTAATAAAATGACAGATGCACCACCTAACCCAACTGCTAGGAGTGGAACAAGCCTAAATAAACCTCATCCCTGGCTTAACTTAAGCCGAAAGGATGCAACTAATGAAAATAACAAATACACCATCTAACCCAACTAAGAATGAACCATAACTGTGGGTCGTGTATAAACAACCAAGACAATCCCTGGATTTACTTCAATCCAAGGAACAACTAACAATAACCAATGCCGTGAATATTTATTCAAAATACTCATTCATAAGAGTTAGCAGGTGCAGAAGAATTATGTAACTCTATGCCTGAGCTACTAACCTATGGTTTTCATGAATTTAACAAATACATATGTTTAGTTTGTGCTATTTTTTTGGTTGTGCATGAATATTTAGAGAAAAGTTTTTTTTTTTACAAATTATTACTAATTGGTCCATTAGCAATGGATGTCGAGCATTAGCAACATACCGTAATTAACATAAAAATAGGTCCAAATTTAAAAACAACAATATATCTCAAATTTATTGTAAATATGATGTGAAAAAATCAACAAAAAAAATTTTGTACACGCTTCGAACATAATATAGGCATTAAGAGGCTAAAGCACTTGTGGGAATGGATAATTGTAACAAAGTTTAGTTGAAACTGAATTCATACATAAAGTCTTTAATACAAGTAAGGTTTTGCAGAAAAAAACTCCATAATTCCATTTCTGAAATTGTGTTAAGCTGTTATTCTATTCATTCAGCTAATGGCAATCGTATGATTAGATAAAGTTTTACGTGGCTTATAAAATACATATTTTATAAGTCACTTGCATTCATGCGCAGCATAAAATGTAGTGCAATGCTTAGGCATTGTGCAGATAATATGTATCACATAGATGCAATATTTCCATGTTTGATTTGATTGTATTTTATAGCTTCATTGTTCTGATAAATAAAGTATGTTTATTCATATAATATAATGCGTTGCATTAAAGTTAAGCTTTCCGTTAAAACAAATATGTTTACGTGGCAAGTTTAAATATTCACTGTTGACGTGTTTTAACCAGGTTTCGGATTAAAATAAGCTTAATTTTTAAAATGTTTAGGGGATACCAGTAAAGCTATTGTCGAAAAATATTTTTTTAACACAAACACAAACACTGACCCAAGCGTAAAAACGAGCGAAAACACTTACTCAAAAGCAAAAGAAAACACAAGCAAAAACTCTAGCATTAACAAAGCAAAAACAAAAGCACAAACATAACACAAACGCAAAAAAAAAAATCGCAAAATTAGGCTTGAACTCAAACGCAAATAGAAGCATATAAGCAAACAAAAACAAAAACAAAAACAAACAGAAAAACAAAAACAAAAATTAAACCAAACAAAAACCAAAACCAAAACCAAAACCAAAACCAAAAACAAAAACAAAAACAAAAACAAAAAACAAAAAACAAAAACAAAAACAAAAAACAAAAAACAAAAAAAAAAAAAAAAAAAAAAAAAAAACAAAAACAAAAACTAAAACAAAAAACAAAAAACGAAAACAAAAACAATAACAAAAAACAAAAAAAAAACAAAAACAAAAACAAAAACAAAAACAAAAACAAAAACAAAAACAAAAACAAAAACAAAAACAAAAACAAAAACAAAAACAAAAACGAAAACAAAAACAAAAACTTAAACATTAGCATAAGCGTAAGCATATGCGTAAGCGTAAGCGTAAGCGTAAGCGTAAGCGTAAGCGTAAGCGTAAGCGTAAGCGTAAGCGTAAGCGTAAGCGTAAGCGTAAGCGTAAACGTCAACGTAAACGTCAACGTGAACGTGAACGCGAACGCGAACGCGAACGCGAACGCGAACGCAAACGCAAACGCGAACGCAAACGCAAACGCAAACGTAAACGTAAACGTAAACGTAAACGTAAACGTAAACGTAAACGTAAACGTAAACGTAAACGTAAACGTAAACGTAAACGTAAACGTAAACGTTAACGTTAACGTTAACGTAAAGGTAAACGTTAACGTATACGTTAACGTTAACATCACTATTTATCACAAATAAAAAATCATGTCTATATCCAACCCCGTAGTATATTCTAGAAAGATTAGGGGAGATCACTCTCGCTTTATAAATAAGGCAAAACGTATTTTAAGAAAACATTTTAAAATTCTACATTTATAATGTCCTTTACGGTATGTGGAAATAAACATATATCGCTAAAAAACTTAGGATACTTTTAACCACGACAAAATCATTTAAATTACTTTTATAGACCTACAATTGTTTAATGCTACATTTTTAACGTGTCTAAAAGGTATTGGGTAATAACTGTATGTCGCTAAAAACAGAGTATAACAAAAATCACTAAAGGGCTTAATGTTGTGATCGTAAGAGATTCTTGTGTAGCCTACTTGAGTGTTGTATTTGTTACGTTATGGCTTTTTTGTGATTGTGTCCCTTGTATTATGTATATCATGGTTACGTCCCTTGAGTGTTCACTGTGTCGTCCGTGGTGTGTAGCTGATGCGTACATGTTAGGCAGTTAAGAA